CCTCTTCCTCCAACTCTAGTCCTATCTCAGTCTCCTTTTCTTCAGGCCATCTCCCAGTCTGTCTCTGTTTAGACTGTCTCTCAGGCTATGTCCCTCTCCCTACGTATATCTGTGTCTCTTCTATCGTCTCCTTAGAGCTGGGTCTCCAAGTCTTTCTTTTGTCTCCTACACATGTCTCCTAACTCTGCCTTTGCAGCTTTCTCTGGCTCCCTCTGACCCTGTCCCTCTGTGAGCATCTCTGGAGGAGTCATATGGTGTGCATGTGACTCTGGATCTAGGTGTGTCTGTGTGTTTCTCTCTCTGCCTCTCAGTCTCCACGAACATGCCTCATTCTCACACTCTACATCTCTACTTCCGTGTTCTCTGTGTGTCTTTATCTCTGGTGTCTCTCACTGCCCACGTGTATGTCTTCTGTTTCGTCCTCTTGGAGTGTCTTTTGCCTCTGAGTCTCTTTTCTGTTTGTGTACGTATGATGTGTTGTTTATCTCTCCTTCACTGTTCATCTTTGTCCCCACAAGGCATTTGTTTTACTCCATGAATCTGTGTTTCTTCCTGTGTGCCCCCTGACATGTGTCCATGTCTATGTGCCTTCCTCTTTAATCATCTCCCTTTCTGCACCTCCTTCTGAGTGTACCTCCGTGTCTCTCCCAGTCATTCTCTTAGTAAAATCTGTCTTTTTGTGTATATGTTAGTCTTATTTTTTCCCCGTGCATCTTTTTCCTCTTCCTCTCTCAGAACTTCTTTGTGTCTCTGTGTATATGTGTGTGGCTTCCTCTGTGTAGGTATCTTTCTCTGTGTCTTTGTGTCTCTTCTGTAAAACATGGGTCTCTTTGTCTGAGTCTCCTTTGCGTGTGTGAGTGTGCATGTGTGCATGCCCATGTGCTTCTAACATGTCGTTTAGAATAAATACACTTCATTCAGTGCCTTGAACTGCCATAACACCTGGGGCTTGGTATTAATACCTTAAAAGACCTTACCTTTTGACCAGCCCTCCATTTGTACTTCTGTTCTTGTTTGCTCTGGCAATGTCCCTGGTTTTTCCTCCAAGACTGAAGCTAAAATAAAGCCAACTCTAGATAAATAAACTTAAAACAATACAACAGAACACACCTAAACCTTACCTTTATTTAACAGAGAGTTTACAGGATAAACGGTTTTCTAAGACAGGTATAACAAGACAATTAACCATGTATTTTCAACAGGTGAAATTAAAATTTTCAGGAAAAGTTTCCTTTCTTCACAATTACATTTTCATAAATACCCTTCAGGTTAAAGTTTTAGGTATTCTTGTCAGAAAACATTCAATACATCTAATTTAAATCTCCCCCAAATAAAATTTCATATGTCTACAAAAATTTTATTATCTATGCTATATGTTTTATATCAAGAACTTAAAAATGTTTTGACTTGAATTTACTATGTACATATTCATATAAACATTTATAAACCTATAAATTCAATTTAAGGTTTCACTCTAATATTTTAGAAAAGGTAAAGACCATCATTAACTTTTGGGATTATTGTTATTTCTCTCTTGCATTTGCTTTAACAGTAAACATGATAAAAGCTAAGAAATTTGCAGGGGGGGATGGTTTTAAGGAGAATAAAATTAGATTTACCTCACAGCTAGAACCCTGCGTTCTTTAAAAAGTCCTCAAATAAAGCTGTAGTAAGCTTCTCCTTTTCCAATTTTCTCTAAATATGTTGATCTGGAGTTGGCAATCTTTTTCTAAGTTCCTCATTTACTTTTGGATTAGCTGAAAATATAGGAAGTTATTAATATCAAAGAAATATGTTCCACTCAATGAAGCCATTTCCCTACATATTGCCCAAAAAGGTTAATAATAATTGCAGTATTTTAATAAGAGATTCATATACCAAGACATGTAGAAAATACAGTCTTTAATAACCTCTGGAGTATTTTAAAACATGTCTTACAGGCCTTAATGTGCTTAGTAATATACTATTTAAAACCATAATTTTATCCCTCTGCAATATACAGTCACTCTTCCTCATCATTTACCCAGCTAATGAATGCCAGCAATTAGTAAAATGTAATCCCATTGCACAATCATTTTAATGCTTTTAGCACTCAGAAAAGTAAACACCAAATTAATACTGCTCAAGCCATATCAGATCCTAGTTGGAAGCAAGCAATTATAGTTCAGCTCCTCAGGTGTAATTAAATGATTGGAATGATTTAGTTCCATAAATGCAAGTTAATTCATAAGCAAGCAACAAATATACTGGGAGTAATTACAAGAAACATTGACAGTCTAAGCAAGGCAAATTCGTTTAAGAGCCTGACATAGTAAAATGCTGCCCTCTCCTGGGCATTTAGGTGAATATCTCAGAGTCAGAAAAAAATCCAATTAACAAAATCTTTTTAAAAGCTGCTTCAAAAAAAAGATGAATATATCAATTTGATTTTCTTTTCTCTATAAAATATATATTTTTTATATTATGACAATTTATAGATAACCACATAATTAATGGTTTTCACAATAAAGTTCTCAGTCTGAGTCCTAAAACACATTGGGCAATTCCCAAACTTTTAATAAAACTGAAGACTCATATAACACTGACAGACTACAGGTGAATGTCCCAGCACCCATGTGGGCTGCCAGTCAAAACCTATGATTTACTAGTGGTAAGGCTTAACTGGGTTGTAACAAATAATAATGAGACATGCTTTCTAAGTAGTAAAAATTTGCATGAAAATATAAAACAAAATAGTAATATTGTGACTGCAGGATATAGTAAGATTGTTTTTAATCAATAATAAAATAAAAATACACTGATACAGCTGTCTTAAGCATACTTGAAACATAAAGTATTACACAAGTATTACACAACATAAAATGCATTCTAGTTTTAAGATATTTCTACCTTGTTACTTTCTTAAACTAAAATTCAGGATGAATTTATTTGTGTATTACTCAGCACACCCTTAGCTTTTCACACTAAACTTTCAAAGCTTATTTTTATACTTTTAAGTTAATATATAATCAGTAAGTCTGTGTTAAAAACATAAACCCAATCAGTATCATCCCTTTGCCCTTCTGTAGTATTGAGCATGTTCTCCAATAAAACTTAATTAGCACAACAAATGTTTACTTCCTCAATAAATGCAAATGGTACATGAAGAAGATAATACATAACACTATACCAATATCATTTAGAAAGGAAAGAGCATTAAATTAATGCCCTTTTGATTTGTTTTCACATGAATTAAATACATATTCTAAGTCATATTCTGTGCAAACTATCAAAACAAATCAAAATATTAAAAAGTCCTGTCACTAAGTTTAAAATGTGCAGCACATTTGATTTGCCCTTGATGTCAGAGGCTTATTTTTCAATTCATATCTTGTACACTGTAAGTTAATTGCTTTTTGAAAGTACTTATTATTCATGTAAAAATTAATGTGCCAATGTGTTTAAATCCTCTTAAATGACCATTCATGCATCTTTCTTCTTTTAGTACCAATGAAATCTGTCAAAAGCTATCAATGCAAAACGATATTAAAAAAAGTTCTAATACAGATTTTTTTCTGATAACACAAGATTTTCATATTCACCAACTTTACTTAAATTTCATTAATTTTTTAAGCTACTTTTAATAAATTCACCAAGTAAAATTTTTAGGCCCCATAGTCTGTCATTTGTGTTCCAGCTGACATTATGAATATTAATAACAGTGTTATCCTGATTAAATAGGCTTCATATGAAATCCCTGTGAATCCTATAGCTCAGACATCTCATTTTTCCAACTCTTTATGAATTTGGATTCAGACATTAAACTGGAAAAATCTTTAAAAAACAGATTTAATCGCACATTTGCATATTCTGAAGCAAAAATTAGATGTTTTAATGATCCAAACAATTAAGACATGTATCTATATATCATAATGAGTAGATTTCTACAAACATGCAACGTATTTTACCCCATCACTTTTAGCACAGAGGATTAATGCTAATACTAACTCTTATCCTTATTTTAAAGATTTGATACTGAGAACTTATTTTCAGTAAAATAAAAGTACCCGGATAATTTACAGCTGATAATCAGATAAATTGGGCTTCTTTTTTCTCGCTTTTGGGTGGCCTCCCATGTGACAGCACTCTACTACTAAGCTATGTCTGCAGTCCTAAACTGGGCTTCTTAACCAAAATGTTGACTTATTACAAACATAAGTTAATTGTTTTATTACTAATCTACACTAGGCTCAAAAAAACATACTAAAATCAATTTCCAATTATTATTTGTTTATAAATTACACTGAAAAAAGTATTTATGTTAAAAAACCTAGTACAACCAACACAACAAACAATATAAGCATCTATACAAAGTTTTCTTCATCACAGATGCCTAACTTCATTCCTCCAAGTTATTACTAATTTTCAAAGAAAGTTAGTCTTATTATTAAGAAGAAAAGAAATATAAATAAAGCAAATTTCACATCCCTGACTCTCTAGATACATGGGAATTGTAATATATCTGATGAAGTTTCCTACATTCACCAATCAAAAAAATGTAGATTAAAAAAATTTAAACATCTCTATGATCTTAAATGTGACTTGACTCTTCTTCTTTATTCAGCATTAAAACACTTCATGGAACAAAATTTGTTCTTTGATCCCTCTAAAATTTCTAATTTGTCTAAAAAATCATAAGTAATTCTGACATCTACCCTTTAAAATTAAATAATTCTTTTTCCTAGAGAAGCATTTAAAATGAGATTTTATACCTCAATGTAACAGTGCCCAGAATTCTGTAAAACTTGTGATGAGTATAGGATGTCCTTCCTAACTTACTCCACAAGTCACATTCTAGCAAAGGTTATTGGCTGATGGCATTCTAAAAATTTGTAATACCCCTCAATTTAATTACAAATTTATGTAAGTTGAGTCCAAGAATCAACCTAGGAATCACTTATAATATTGTACTATATCCAATATAAATAGAAAAACTCCATTTTTTTTGTTTCATAGGAGGAATGTTGATAATTTCTACATTGAGCAGTTTCATTAAATGGCCAATGGAAAACATTCCATTTCACAGAGGTAAATACCACTTACTGTAACATACACAAGATAAGCATATGTCCTACTGTTGGATTTTTCATCTCATTATACAAAAGACTCTCAAGCAGAATTCTTGGCAAAAGTATCTCTTAAAAAATATGACACTTAACCCAATGTACCCACTTTCTGACCTGTGCCACCAAATTAAGTTCCTCAGAGCTGGATTAGCAAGAAAAGATTCAGAGAGACAGGATAAGAGATAAAAATGGTTTTATACCATAGCAATCAAAACTGAAAATGCACATATTATTTACAATTCCATGGCTGAAATACAAACAGATATTTGTTAAAGCAATACTGCTATACCTGAAAGAGCAAATACTTATGCACCAGTCATGTGGGTTTCTTTTTTATGCTTGCTATTTCTTCTGCTGCTTAGAATTCTCTCTAGTTCTCTTCATTTTTCTCATCATTCAGGCTTTGCTCAAAAGTCATGTCTTCAAAAAGGCTTTGCCTGGCCATCCTATCTATAGCATAAATCTCCCTCATCACATTATCTATACTACTGCCTTCATGAAACTGACTTGTTTAGCTTTTCTTTGATTTTTATACTATATGTCAGCCAACTTTGTACATGAAAGTTACATTTTCTTCTTCATCTCTGTATCTGTAGACAAATGTGTGGATAAAGTACTCAGAACATATTTGATGAACAGATGGGTGGAGGGACAGGTAATAGCTGGATGAACATCAATAGAGGACAGGTCAAAAATTTTAGCTCAACCATCTAGTAAATCTATATTGTTTATACCACAAACTCAGGGAAATATGTACTGTACATGCAAGATTCTTTTGACAATACTTGTTAAACAGCTCATACTATGATCTAGAAAATTGTCTAGGAATTAGATACAAAATGATTTATAAAACAAATCAGTTTCTTAAACAAATACATTCTTAGTAAAAAAATGGATAAATTAACAATAGAAAAATGTAAAACTATATGTACATATGTATACAGGCTTAAACAAGCCTACTATTCTTTTTCTAGATGGATATATGCAAAACTACTCACAGTGATTAGTCTCAAAAAGGGCCTTAGAGGCCACGCATAGTGGCTCATGCTTGTAATCTCAGGACTGGGGAGACACAGGCAGGAAGATAGCTGTGAGATTGAGGTCACCCTGGGTCACATTTTGACATCAAGGCCAGATGGAACTATACAGTGAAGTGCTGTCTAAAAAAAAAAAAAAAAAAAAAAAAAAAAGAGTACAAAAAGCCTTAGTCTTAGGGTGGGTAGACTGAGAAAATAAGGAAAAGAAACATTTATCTTTCCTTTGATAGCTATATGTATTTTATTTTTTTACTATGTGCCTGGTGCCTGTATTACTTTTAATAATTATAACCTTAGAAAATTCAAGAAGAAATCCTAAAGATGTCACACTGTAAATGAGAATCAAAATGAAAAGAAAGGAAGTGATTTTTGTGACTCTTTTGAAACTCTGGGAAAGTATTTTTTTCCTAAATAACTTTTTGCAATTACACTTTGTTAGGATTGTTCTCTTGCTTGTTTGGTTTAAGTAGAGTGAAAAGTATAGTGAAAAGCATACTAAAATTATGACAAAAAGTTTTAGGAATAAAGAAGTTCAAATGTATGAAAGAGTTTCTGAAAACTAAGCAAATTTTCTTGAAACTACATTTTTTAGTTCAATTAGGGACTATTTGTAAT